GTAAATGGACGTAGCTTGAGACCATACTCATAAGTGAAATAAATCAAACTCACATATATGAATATTAAATAATTTCCCTAGTGTTAGACACAATTTAAATATATATAATTATGTGGTAATCATGATTCCCCATTATGTGGTTTTGAAGCCTTATAAAGTTTTCACTCATTAATTGGAATGGTTTTATTTTGGGCTGTTTGATATTATTGCCTGTCATGACACGAACAGGTATTTTGAAGAAAACAAGACACCATAATAGCTAGTGCTGATTTAATATCATCTTGTTTTGAAATCCCACCACACTGTTGTTCTTCTGTCTCCATTGGTTTTATCATGTTGTATCTTCCTGGATTTTATTATATGTGATAGTGAAAACTTAAATTTTTATAGGCAAAATGATAATATAGAAACCATTGTTCATTTTCCATTAGCTGGTTCTAAATACTCTGTAACACTTTCATCTTCTTGAATGGTTTCACACTGCCTTGATATGTTTGATGCCATAGTATATGAAGTTGTACTCAAATATTTCAAGGAAAGATACACTATGGAAACTACTATTAGGTTGGGTTATCTTGTGGTGAAGCACTATGTTGCTGAAATTGTTATCTTTTGACCTGTATTGTTATGTTGTTATGTCCTCCCTTTATCTCAATCTCCACCTTTTAAAAAAAATATTTATTATTTTTAATTATGGTAAAAATCAAAAAGTAGCAGGATATATTATAGTAACTTTTTTATTTCCTATTAACTTGATTTGAAGCTCTGTATTGCTCCCACCATCTTGTTTTGACTGATTTTACTCTGTCTGTTCAGTTTGATAGTATCAATTTTGAGGATATAGGCACCTACTTTGAAGGCAATAAGATTCACTATGATGCCCATTCTGGTTTGACTATTATCTTCTTTTGAAGTCCTGTAATGTCTCCAATGTTTAAGTTTTATTGGTTTTATTCTGTATTGTTTTGTTGAATTTTATTATACCTGATGATACAGGTAATTCTTTTTAAGTAAGCAAGAGGTATTATGGTAAGCATTGTTGATTACCTTGTATTCTGTTTTTACATCATGTACTATGTCCATCCTTTGTTTTGACTGACTGCTTTGCTTTGTCATATTTGTTTTTTTTTTCTCTTCCAAATAAAAAGTAATAACAACTATGGGAGTAATAAAACTGAAAATGTGTAAATGTTGTTGGAAAAAAGAGAATAAACAAAAAGTGCTCTAAAGGATACAACTGCAAGTGTGTTTAGGAGTGTTAAGATAGATGATCATATTTCTAAGTTTTTGTTGAATGATTGAACACAACTGTTTGCAGTTTCACTGCTTGAAGGTCCATTTTGCAAGTTTTAATCCTGTAACTTGAACAACTATTTCTAAGATGACAATATGTAATCTATTAACTAGTGATTTCTTACTGGTTTTTTTTTTAATTCTATATTACTTGTACCCTTATACTGTTTGTTTTGTTTTGTTTTGTTTTTCTCCTTTATTAAAATTAATACAAACAAATATCAGATATAAAGAATCACATCAGCAGTAACACAGTCATAATGGTGAACCACAGTACCCCACTTTCACAATAAAATCTATAAAGTAGACAGAAAAATCAAGAAAAAATCAGAATTAGAACAAACCTGTGAACCAGTGGATTTCCTATAAGTCTACAGTGTCCCATTCCACATCACTATACACATTCTTCTCAGCCACACATGGTATATTCTCCAAAATAGAATACATATTAGCCCATTGAACATGTTTAAATAAATGCAGGGAATTCAAATTATCCCATGAATATTATCTGACCATAGTGAAATAGCATTGCATATCAATAGGAAGAGAAACCACAAAGGCTACATAAACACATTTTAGTTGAAAAAACACCCTCCTGAACAACCAGCGACTCACAGAGAATGTTAAAGGAGAAACTAAATGTTGTCTACAATTGAAAAAAAAATGCTGATGTAACATATTGGAACTTATGGGATGCACTGAAAGCAGTCATATGAAGGAAATGTATAGCAGTAAATTCACACATCAAGGAAGCTGCATGAGCTCACCTAAACAAGTTGATGTTGAATCACAAAGTTTTAATAAAGGAAGACTAAGTCAAACTCACAAATGCACAAGAGAGTTCACAGAAGAGTGGAAAGTGTAAAGATCAGAGCAGAAATTAATGCAACTCATACTGAGAAAACAGTATAAGTTTTGATTGAACAGTTTGTTCTTACAAAAAGGTAAGTAAAATTTCCAAACCCCTTAAGAATGTTATCAGAACTACAAAAGAAAAGGCCCAAATGCAAGCAATTAAAAATGAAAGAAATACTGAGAAAAAAATAGAAAATTATCAAAACCTATTTTGAAAACCTTTAATAAAATGGAAAACACAACAGAAAAGAATGATTCCTAGACACATATGAATTACCAAAACAGAATCAAGAAGATGCAAATATTCTAAGTAGACCAATATCAGTCAATGAAATTGAAATACAATTAAAAATCTCTCCACAAAGAAAACCCAGGCCCTTGTGGTTTCCCTCCTGCATTCTACAACAAATTTTGAGAAAACCTAATGCCACTCATGGTCAACCACTTCCATGAAATTGAAAGAGAAACAATATGTTTTAATATTCCTGGAAACAAGTACTACATTGATACCAAAACCAGAGAGAGTTTCAATAAAGAAAACTAATGATCAAACAAAAATACAGGATAGTCTCACTAACTAACATAGCTGCAAAAATCCACAGTAAATTGTTGGCAAAGGATGCAGCAAATCATTTAGAAGACTACACACTATGATCAAGTAGAGCTCATCCAAGTGACTTAGGGATGATACACTATATGCTCTTAGGAGACATCATCTCAAGATTTGGACAACTGACCCACATTCAAAGCTGACATAGCGCAGGAGCTCACACAGATGTTAAAGATAGAATGGAAGCTTCACTGGCAACAGAGATCAAGGAAATTAGAGCAGATGAAACAGACACTCAAATAATTTCTAAGAAAATATTGCCAAGAGACTCACTTAAGATGGGACTGAGTTCCACCTATGACACTCCTCTATATCTGGTGCTTCTCTCCCAAATAAATTGGGTATTATTCTTACCAAATCTTTGTTTGAACACCCTCAATCATTGGTAAAATTAAGAATGATGTCTAAAAAGTGGAACCATGAGTGTTAAGGGGATACATACGAGCTCTTGAATAGCCATTTAAGATGCCTGTGTACAGAAGAAAACATGACTATAAGCTTCATAGATCCAATACCCTGTTCAAACATGAGAACACTATTCGGGTTAACAAATAAAATCCAGCCAGTCTGAGGCCCTTATGGATCAGGCTGCATATTGTAATTTTCTCCAGCTCCATCGCTATTAAAGTTACAAAAACTGTGTCTTAGATCTACTGTGGTCAACAAAAGCCAGTGACCAAGACACGTGGGCCAGCTAGCAAGATCCAGACCACACAAACAAATAATCTTTCCGTGAAATCAGGCCACCACCAGAAACAACCTTGCTCTAGTCACCCCAGAAGCTGACCACTCTACACAGAGCTGAAAGCTAAGGAAACAACAGCCCTTTTCTGGTCACCCTGGAAACTGACCAGTCTACTCATGGTCAAAGCTTCAGGAACAACACAAGGATTCATCAGCATAAGTCTCTTTTTACATTTTTTTTGTAATTCTCTCTGCCCACTGAGGACCCAACCACTTGTGACAAGATAAAATGATATGGATGTCCTCTATTAAAACTTGTTACAGAGAGTTTGAAATGGAAGAATGAATTGGAAGTTAAAGAAAACCAAGCTCTCCTAGCCTGAAGCATTCCCCATCAAGATCCTCCTCTCTTTCTCTGTACCTATAACTTCTTTCTTCCTCTGGTACAGATAAGATTGGTGACTATGTCCTGTAAACAGTGAATTGCATCTTGTTTTCACAACATTCATAAGGCTCTATCTCTATTGAGGCTAAATTATTAATGGATTTTAATTTCTTGTCTTGTTTTGGTACACTTGCTGCTTTCCCCTGCCTCCAATTTCTTCTCAGTAAAATGCATAAAAACTAGAACTTTCCATTTAAGGGACACTTAGCCATTATTGTGGGCATCTCAAGGTCAAGCTGAGCCAGTGTGCACCTAAAACTCAATAAATCCATCTGTTTCCCTATTGGGCTCTGTGAGCTCTTGGATTCTCCAACAGTATGACCTCAGAAAACTGGGTTATCTTTCTGCACCATGCATACCAAAATAGAGTATTATAGATGAAAATCAGTGAAGGATAAACCCAGATTCATTTTTGGAGAATTGAACCTAAATCATATCTAATATTCCACTGCAATTCTGAAATAGAGTGTATGTATCAGAATGAATAAAGACCTAATACAAAATTGTGAATGAAACTATCAGTTTGTCAATGCATTTGGCTATATACCATTTATCTAAATTCTTCATTAGTTAGCATGAAACATTGACAAGTATAAAATTATGTCAGATAGCAACTATAATATTTGAGGTCAGATAGTAATGATTTCTGAAAGAAGAAGTAATATAAAATAGACCTAGCTACTTGTAGATATTATGCCTTCAGTAAGAATTTGACATTGTCATGAGGTAATGGAAAAAGAAAGGAATGGAAAAGAAAAAAATATATGTATATATACACACATATACATATATGTTTATTACACAAGATAGTAAAATAGTTATAATGCTAAGTGCCTTTGTTTACTCAAAAGAAAGCTTTGTGCTCACATTGTTTGGAAATGCCATGTGCATAAATTGAACTCTTAGTAATTACTGTAAAAATAACAATACACAATGGCAATTGTTCTCTCCTATTAACCTGTTCTAACAATTTGTTTTATTTTTATTTCTATTTACTTGCTTTAAAAGAAACAGGCCTAGAGGTATATCTCAGCAACACAACACCTGCCTGGCAACTTCAAAGTCATGAGTTTGATGTTGGTAACAAATAAATAAATAACATAACATAATATATTATAGCAATTTGACACAATTTAGGATAATTTTTATATATTCAATGTAACAGTGTATGCTAACACATATAATAAAATTCAATAAGATACAACATGATAAAACCGATGGAGACAGAAGAACAAAAGTTCAGTAGGACTTCAAAACAATATGATATTAAATCAGCACTAGCTATTATAAAGTCTTGTTTTCTTCAAAATAGCTGTTCAAACCATCACAGACAGTAAAATCAAACAACCCAGAAAAAAAAACCATTCCAACTAATGAATGAAGACCTTATAAGGCTTCAAAGCTATACAATGGGGAGTCATGATTACCACATACTTTTATATTCTTACCATTTCTTACACTAGGGAAATTATTCGGTATTTATACATGTGAGTTTGATTTATTTCACTTTATGAGTATGGACAAGGAGATAATATAGTACTGATTTTTGTTTTCTATAAATTGGTTCTGAATACCCCATAATACTTTCTTTGTCTTGGATGGTTTTATACTGTCTTGTTATGTTTTATATTATAGTGTATGAAGGTATACTCAAATATTTCAAGGAAAGAGACACTATGGTAGCTACTGTTATGTCGGGTTGTCTTGTGGTGAAACACTATGTTGTTTAAATTGTTCTGTTCTAACCTGTTTTGTTATTTCTCTTTTATCTTAATCTTTTTTAAAATAATAAAACAGCGTATATGTATGAACACGAAGCATTTCTAAAGTATAGATCCTAAGAAATGATATGGGTAAAGAGGTAATTTGAAATAAGCGGGCCATCAAAAATATGAAGATTTGATAATTCAAGACTTCACAATGCAATCATAGATTTTTATACCAAGACCTCTGAGGCATATAGAAGTACAAGGTCAAGAACACAGACATCAGTATTCATATAAATGTGTAAAATGTTTCAACATTCTTCCCATGGAAACAGCTTTGGAGGATATCCTGCCATTTTCTTCTGATGTATTTTATCAAATGCTTCAGCTTGGGCTACAGTGAAGTGGTTCTTCCAATCCCCTACGACTCCTGGAAAATATAGCACAGAGACTTACATCAGATTTGATAATAGGATCTAAGACTTCAGCACGTCTCATTGATCAATTCTTGGAATCCAACTGACATCAAGAAAGTAGATGGCATAGTTAAAGGGTAGAGCCAATAGATCTTCTATGGCTGCGTGCCTACCATTCACACTTCTGAACTTTTCAAAAGACGTTAGGTCACTGTGAATTTGACCTTGAAAGAACTTGTAGAAGAATGTAGAATTAAAGCATCACTGGCCTCCCCTATTAGCACAAAGGAGAAAATCTCAAACATCTTAACTATTAATATTCTGTTCTTGCCAAGAGAAACAGCTCCCATGCCCCATGACAAATCTGAAAGCAGAGCACTATTTCTTACCTTTTCGCATAAGCGAGAAACCCTCAGTAATAAAATCTTCAGGAAGCATGCTGAAATTGGACATCTTGTTTTCTTTCATGAATTGAAAGGAGCTATAATGGAGGACTAAATCTATTTCTTCCGGTTTTAACTTCTTTCCTAAGAATTGACATATCTTCTCTACCATGCTTCTTGTGTCCTAAAAGAAGAAAAACCCAGAGCAAGCTTTGATGAGGAAGGCAGAGGAGACAGGAGCTGTCAGTGGTAGTGAATAGAAATGATAAAGAGATTCAAGGTGCATCAAAGGCAGAAAGCTTGAGATGGATCAAGAGGAAGAAGAAAATGGGATGGCAAATGAGACAGCTTGAAGTGTGTGCAACACGCAAAGATGAGAAGGACTTCCCAGTGTGATTGGGTAAAGTGCACAAGAGCAATAGGACCTGGGACTTTCACGTCTACTCTAACAATAGACATATTGTAAGCCTATGCAAGGAAGGCCCCAGTGAGAACGTGAGAAATTTGAGTTCTTACAACAACAATGACTATTACCAATAATGTTTAGGTAACACAAAGCACTTATAAAATCCTATTATATATGGTCTCAATAATTACTATTTTGTCAGAGAGTATGACTAGAATACTAGGCTTTCTAATAAGACAGATTTGGCTGTGTTTTCAATTGCATGGTCCCCATTAATAACTAAAAAAGAGACACAAATATGGCAATAAGTAAAGATATTATCCCTGTGAAATTTGAAAGCAAGTTGTGGGAAAAAGCACCTTTGGGTCCTAAGCTCAGATCCCAAGCTGCATGCAAAAGGCAGAATTCATGCTGCAAACCTAGAGGGTTATACTGAAGTAGCCAGAGAAAGGTGATAGATAGTTTTATTTTTCAAAGCTGGGATTGGAAGTCCCATTTGTTCCAGCTATTCCACTACTAGGCATCTTCCCAGAAGAACTGAAAGCATCATACCAAAGTGATATATGTGCACCTATGTTTATAGCAGCACAATTTGTAATTGCCAGATCATGGAAACAACCCAAATGTCCATCAACCAAGGAATGGATAAAAAAAGCTGTGGTACTTCTATACAATGGAGTACTACTCAGCTATAAAGAAGGATCACATTGAGGTATTTATCAATAAATGGGTGCAGCTTGAAACCATACTGATAAGTGAACTAAATCAAACTCGCATCTGTGAACTCCGAATAGTTTCCCTAGTGTAGGAAATGAATCAAATATATAAAAGTATGCAATAACCATGATTCCCCATTATATGGCCTTGAAGTGTTATAAAATTTTCACTCATTAATTGGAATGGCTTTATTCTGGGCTGTTTGATATCATGGCCGGTGATGCAATGAACAGCCACTTTGAAGAAAATAAGACATAATAACAGCTAGTGCAGATTTAATAACATCTTGTCTTAAAGCCACACCAAACTATGGTTCTTCTGTCTCCTCCATCCCTTGTTCTTCTTCCCTTGGGAATATTTTCTTCCACAAGTGATATATCTCAATAGTACAGTGTCTCACTAGCAAGTTGAAGGTCCTGTGTTCAAGTCCTAGATCAAGTCCTGTGTTCAAGTCCTTTATCATGTTGTGACTTGCTGGATTTTGTCGTATGTGGTAGTATAAACAAAAATTTTTATAGGCAAAGAGATAATATTGAAACCATTGATCACTTTTTTCTGTTAGCTGGTTCTGAATATTCTACAATGCTTTAATCCACTTGAATGGTGTTACAAAAGTCTTGATATGTTTGATGCTATAGCCTATGAAGTTGTATTCGGGTATTTCAAGGAAGAAGACACAATGGTAGCTACTATTAAGTCTGGTTATTTGGTGGCGAAACACTAGGTTGCTGAAAGCATTATGCTTTAACCTGTATTGTTACGTTGTTATGCCCCTTTTATCTCATCCTCTCCCTTATTCATTAAAAAATTATTTAATTTTTTAAAAAAATATATCAACCAATAAAAATGCTCCTGGATCTGTAGGGAAAAAGAAACCCTTTACAACTGTTGGTTAGAGAGTAGAATAGTACAAACACTGTGGAAATCAGTGTGGAGATTCCTCAAAAAATTAGGGTCAGAGGTCCCATTCAACCCAGGTATTCCCCTTCTGTATATTTTCCCAGAAGGATTCAAAAACATCACACCACAGTGACATATGTGAAACCATAAGGTTCAAAATATACAATAGTCACTGTGAAATGGGAGGAAACTGTTAAAATAAAAAGAAGAAACTAAGATAGGGGAAAAGAAAAAGGATAGAAGGGAAAAGAAAAAAAAAATGCAAGTTAGTTATACCATTAGTGTCACTTAGTTCACTGAATAGGAAAGGTTGTGCTAATACTGATTGAAGAAATTTTTATGCCCATATTTGGTACTTGAGTGACTAAAGATAATGATGTATAATTTATCAACAATTGTTACTTTTTTATTATTTTTTGTGAAAATTTGTTTTACCTTTTCTTCTTAATATTAACAAATAAAGTAATTAAAAAAAACAAAGTGAAAAAAAAAGATAGTTTTATTTTTGTCCTAGAGAGTAAAGACACTGTTTACATTGTTTTCTTTCTCAACTGTCTACTGGTACAGTTTTTTTTTCCTTTATATCCTTATATTATTTTTAAATTATTGGTATATTTTAGATATACATCGTGATCCATATTCATCAGATGACATTTATACCTCTACATGATTTTTCTTGATTCTTCTTTTACCCCAAAAACTCTCTTCTCTTTTCAATCCCTTGTCCCCTTTTTATTTACAGGAGATTTGTTTTCATTTTCTTCCTTCTGTTTATTTTACTATCATTCCTTTTATCCTTTCCTCCTCCATCCCTTGTTCTCCTTCCCTTGGGAATATTTTCTTCCACAAGTGATATATCTCAATGGTACAGTGTCTCACTAGCAAGTTGAAGGTCCTGTGTTCAAGTCCTAGTATCTAAATAATCACATAATGAACATTTGCTTCCTATTTCCAAGTCTCTGTTACATATTTTGTTCTTTATCTATCTTATCAGTTTCTCCCACTGGACAAAAAAGGAGGTATTTAAACACTTGTGTTTGATCTATCTCATTTAAGAGCATAGATTCATTTCTCCTTTTTCCCCCTCCCTAATTATCTTCTGTTTGAATAGTTTATTCATATTTCAAAACATCTTTTATGTATTTTGTTCTCTTTACTTTTTTATCTCATACAAGAGAAGTGATGTGATATTTTCATATGCGAACCCAATTTATTTCACTTAAAATATGTTCTCAGTGTTGTGCATTTAGAGATTTCTCAAGATTATCTTTCTATATGGGTTAGTAGCACTTCATTGTATAAAAAATCACATCTTTATCTGTTACTTGATTGATGAAAACTCATTGTTTCTGAAATATAGCTATTACAAATTGAGCTGCTATAAACATGGGCGTATATATATTGATGTGGTGCAATGTTTTTAATTATTTCACTACAACACTCAGAAGGGGAATGGCTGAATAAAATTGGATCCCTCATTCTAACATTTTGAAAAAACTATACTCCAATTTCACAGTACTGGCACCAGTATACACTCTCACCAATAGTGCAAAAGGGTAACTTTTCCCCCACAGCTACTCCAGCATTTGAGATTTGTTAATTTCTTCATACTAGTAATTTTTCTGAGGTGTGATAGAATCTCAGTGTTATCTTAATTTGTGTTTATTGAATTATCAGTGATTTTGTACATTTTTTCCTATTTGTATGCCTATTGTATTTCTTCCTCTGCTATACATACTTCTTCATGAAGTGTGTAATCCTCTCAGATGCTCATTTTTGACCTATGCCTCTCCTTTGGTGAGGGTGAATTTTTCAATACATTGTTTGTTGTTGGAGGACAGAAATGTTACTGATTTTTTTAGTAGAGACATTACATTTAGCTACAAAATTGAATTCAGTTATTAATGTTACATGTTTTTGGTAAGGTTTTAGAGTCTTTTTGTAAAGTAACGTCTACAAATAATGATAATTATTTCTTCTTTGCTATCATTATTCCTTTTATTCCTCTGTTGTCTAATAGCTCTTCCTAATGTTACCAAAACTCTATTGAATAAGAGTGGTGATAATGAATATCCTTGTCTTGCTTTTGATTTTAGATTGAAAGGTATCAGAACTCTTCTGTTTAATATATTGTTGGCTGTTGGTTTCTCATTGAAGTCTTTAGTTAGATGGAGGTAAAGATCATATATTACAACTTTCTGTAGGATTTTTATCTTGACTGAGTGATAAACTTTAACGCTTTTTCTATATGTCTTGAAACAATCATGTGGTTTTTGTCTTTGGATCTGTCGATGCGGTGTGTTATATTTTTCGATTAGCTTATGTTGAAAGATTCCTGCATTCATGGGATGATTCCACTTGGTCATGGTGTATAATATTAATGATGATTTCTGGTATTCTGTTTGCCCATAGCTCATTCTGAATTTTAGCATTTATGTCCATTATGATGATTAACTTCTAGTTCTCTTTCTTGGTTGGCATAGTCTATGGTTTTTGAATGAAGAAAATACTTTCCTCCAGGAATGAGTTAAGTAGTTTTGCAACCCTTTCAATTTTTATAGAGTTTGAGCAAGTAGCAGTATTAAATATTTATTAAAATTCTTATATAACTCAACAATGAATCCATCAGAACATGGATTTGAAATTTTTAATTTTTTTGCGAATTTAAATTACCTTTTAAATTTCTGTGACTCATTGATTTATTTAGAGTTTCAGACATTTTATTCAGTTTTAGCAATTCATTTGTATGCGGGAACCTGTGGCTTTCTTTTGTGCATTCCATCTTTTTAGAGTAGGTTTTTCAAATAAATACTGATGATCTTCTATATTTCCACAAGATCCATTTTGATTTCACTCTTTTGATTTCTAATTTCATGTATTTAAGTTTTTCTTTATTCTTTTGATAAGGTTGACAAAGTACTTATCAATTTTATTTACTCTTTCAATGAAGGTACTCTTCAATTAATTGATTAATTGCATTGTTTTCTTAGTCTCAACTGCACTATTTTTTGCTCTTATCCTTATCTCTCTCATTTGAGCTTAGGGTTTTATTTTTTGTTCATTTTCTAGAAGTTTTAGGATCAAAATTAGATTTGCATATTTGAGTTACTTCTATTTTCCCGATACGAAAGTTCATTGCTATAAATTTCCCTTTGACTGAT